TCGCTAAGGTTGCAGATTGAAACGTGCAATCCATAAATGGTGACTTGATTTACTTTAGGATGATCGTATCATTACTTGTGCTTGATGATGATATGATATTTGTGATGCTAATATATGCTTTGTGCTAATGTCATGTTATGACCTATTGTTATGTTGCTTACACTTTGATGAACTTGATGTATATAGCATGCTAGCTTAAGTTGCTTGAAATATGATGTATGGTTGTCTTTTGATGTGTTGGTTATGAATACATTGCATGTTTAATACACATTTATATGGTATGCATTACATGCATTACTTAATGTATAAATGACATTGCAGGGTGTAATGATGACATGGGTAGAACCTTGCAAGTATAAGAGGTTGAAAGAGCTTAAGACTTATCGATTGTTAGTTGTACGAACTTTTTAGATGGTCGTGTGACACGTGGTTCGTGTGCACCTCAGTATACAAGAACTGGAGTGGTGTTGGCTTTATGGTGTGGTCGGATCAAACATCACGTGGGAATCGGGAGGTGTATCGGTAGAATTAACACCGTTTGTACCGATCTTGAACGATAGTGCGGGGTACTTGTACTTTGCAAAGTCGGAGTGACGAAAGTGAAGTCACAGGTTGGTGATTCGGGTGGAAGTCATGAGCCACTTAGAGCATTCGGTTGGCCGTGCACACAAGTAGTGAACGAGGTGTTTCTCTTGGGCTAGGTAGCGCTAAGGGACATTTTTCTACCAATAAACTGGATAGATACAATAAGAGGTTGAATAAAAAATAAAAGGTTGGTTGCATATTAAAAGGTTGAATATATAACAAATATTGGTTTTATATTAAAAGGTTGAATATGTAACAAAATGTTGGTTATTAATAAAAGGTTGCTTATATATATGAAATGTGATTAATTATATGTATGCGGTTGCTTATGTGGTATTTGGTTGATCATACTTATATGGTAGAATTGTGGTTAAACATATATGGATGTATGCGGTTGAATATGTGATTGAATGATTATGATATGCGGTTGTTTTCTAAGTGGTATTTGTCTATCATTTTTATGCTTCACCGTAAAATGAATGGATGACATATTTGGGGTTTGTATGTTTTATGTGCAACTTTATGAACTCACTCAGCAAGGGCTGGCATTTCTATTTTTTCTCTTTCGTGCCTTATGATTGGTGCAGACACTTAAGAAGATTAACCTTGATGAGAGGGGTTCTTATGGGTAGTAAATTTATATTAACAATACCACTATAGGATACGTTTTTGATTATTTACTTTAAAGTACTTTTGTTTACATTTTAAATGGTTTGGAATTATGCTTGAGTTTTTGAAGTAACGTTGTGGGTTTGAAAATATTTTGAATTAAAAACTAAGTCTTCCGCTAACATATTCTCTTAAATATATGTTCTAAAAAGAAAAAAAAATATGGTGAAAATCACGATGTTACAACACCTGAGAATAACAAATCTGTAAACCGAGCGGTGCTTGATGCTGGGTGATGCCCGATGTTGGACGGGGGGCCAGTATATGATGTATTATGTATGATATGTGGTAGTTTGGGGAACTCACTAAGCTTTTGTGCTTACAATTTTCAGTTTATTTTTCAGGTACTTCCAGTGGCAAGGGGAAGAGCTCAGAGTGACTGCATTGCACACGCCACATGGATTCCGCATTTGACATTTCACTATGGTTTTTATGATATGTGATACACTTGTTTTATTTGAGACGTATGGATAATGACTCAAATACTATTTTACTTGATTTAAACATGATTTTTTTTACTATATTTTTTGGGACGTTACAAGAAGTGATAGAAAAAAATACGATCCTTTCACTCTTACCTAACATCTCTTTACATTCTCTCTAAGAAATCAACTAACTTGATCGTCAGAGCCTTGTTCCGGGACTGCCTCTCGGACGACGACTGACGATCCTTTTATTTTATATATATATACACATATTGTTGTGATTATCAGGCCTTTCGTTCCATTCTTCAAAGATACGAAGTTAAGCCGGAGACATATCACAACATTCTTCAATTATCATATTATAAATTATAATACACGCTTGGACCATCCGTTTAATTTCATTCTTATTCAAAAGTCGTGTAGCGTATTTCAATACATGCCATGTCAGCTTTAGTATTCCAAATGCCTTCTCAATATCCTTTTTGCTGATTCTTGCCTTTTTGTGAACTACTTTGCATTTTCACTTCGAGGAACCGAATATGCCTTCATAAGTGTAGAATAATCCGGGTATATCCCATCACAAATGTAGTAGTCGTATTTGTACGAATGCGCACTCACCGTGAACGACATATCATGTGCTCTGCCGATCCAAATATCGTTGAAAACGGGAGACTGACCAAAAACGTTAATGTCGTTGTTAGACCCCGCAACTCCAAAAACGAATGTCATATCCACAAATCCTGAGATGCAACAGTTTTTAAGATTATACTTGGTTCACCTATATCTCATCGAGTAAATTAACCACACCATGCAATTAGATATTTCCCAAGTCACATGCGTACAATCTAGATTGTCAAGCGTACCCGAAAATCCAATAATTCGTGTGCGGTTCGGCGATCACGATTGACGAAGGTCCTTGAACGAGCAACATTCGAACTTTCTTTATCGTGAATGTGTTGCCCAATGTTGAAGAAGGTCAAAATGAATTCTCCGTCATTATCCGAGTCAAAATTCTTAAAGAAATACATGTATTTTTGTTTTAGAGATAGAAAGTATAGAGAATGTTTTTAGTGTATAGGTTTCTAGATTATTGTGTTTATATATAAGTAATGTTTTATATAAAAAAAATAAAAAATAAAATTGAAACAATTAACCGTTGAACGGTAACATATTAAAACTCAAACCCAATTGGCCGTTTACATTCGTTGTTAGCACGACACTTGAGCAAGACCACGCCCAACCACAAATGGAAGGGATGGTGTCCACCAGGATCTTCAGTACCGAAGTAGACCATGAGCTTGCTCGTCGAATGTATACCATGGTCTTAGGAACAAAAAACTTGAACAAAAACCGCATCTGTTACGCTAGTCTGTAACTACTCTAGTCTGTATACGTGGATGAAAAAAAGAAACAAGTTTTTGACAGAAAATAAATAGATTGCGGAAAAAAAAAAGCTTTGTTTTACTTGAAAAACAAGTTAACATGAAATTCAAATCGACCCGACCCAGATAGCGAGGTTAGGCTTTGGTCGAGTAGCCAACGATTTTTTTACACGGAGGAATAAGACGCTTCTAGAGAAACACACGATCGCGATTGCTCAGTCAACAATCTCAACACAACAAGGTACAACTTGGATTTCGTAACGTACAACCATGACAATGTACACCTTTCCTTATAAAGAGGCACCGATAAGGCATCAGGGTTTTATTGTAAATCACCCGAAGCTTTTTGTCTCGAATCTCTCTTAATTTTCTCTCTTTAGTTTTCGCCGCTTCTTTGTCTCTCTCGAAATCAACATGCCTCGCAGAAGCTCCGGTGGTAAGTTTCCTAACCATTTTTTCCACTGTTCCATCGTTCGTGTTCTATTCATCAATAATTTTCAATATGTGTGGGAAATATCTTGTCCGTGTAACTACACCATTTCCGTTTTCTAGGGTTCCTTGCGTTGTTTTTGAATGGAATATTTTTTTTTTTTGAGATTTGACTGTAGTGCCGTGCGTTTGTGTTCGTTTTCTGTTTACCTGCACCATAGAGATCTCCTGAAATCGAGGAATAGTAGGGTTGTAGATATTTAGATTTTACTTTGTAAGAATTAGGGAAATCATCATTTGTGGTCCGATGGTCGTATCGTTGTCATTTCAGCAGCATACGTGTATTCCTTTCTCAGTGCATGCTATATGAGTTCCTAATTGATGTTTGCATCAATCTATTCTGAAGAACCCTAGAATTGTCATGTCTTTTTGGACAAGTAAACTTTATTGGCTTCGTGTTGCACATTTTTACTGTCTAATTTGTAAGATTAACCAATAGCATGATTTTGAATTTCCAAAACAAATCATATACCAATAGCACTTCTCCTATGGCTGTTATGTTTATATGTTTTGTGGTGTTCGCAATTCCATATGACAATTGACAAGTACACCATATGTTGCAGGAAGGTCAGCTCGTGCACCTGCTCGTGCTCCACCACCAGCACCAGTTAACCGATCACCCCCTCCTGCCCCTGTTCAGCCTAGCAGTGGTGGATCGATGCTTGGAGGCATTGGTTCAACCATAGCTCAAGGTACCTCAATATAAACCATATCCTATAATATTATTATACATATACACCTTTTCTCTCTTTCTTAATTTTACGAATTTGAGTTATATTTTGACACTTTTGGTATGTTAGGAATGGCTTTTGGAACTGGAAGTGCTGTTGCTCACAGAGCTGTGGATTCTATCATGGGTCCTCGCACAATTCAACATGAAACTGTTGGTGCTGCTGCTCCAGATGCCTCTGCTACAAACACCTCTGTCTCTGATGCGTGTGGCATGCACTCCAAGGCATTCACAGATGTATGTCTACATTCCCATTGTTAATATATCGAAAGGTTGTTGATGAATGTTTTGTTAATGGTGATTGATGTATGTTTATGCATATGCAGTGCATTAACAGCTCTGGAAGTGACATCAGCAAGTGCCAATTTTACATGGATATGCTGGCGGAGTGCAGGAGGAGCTCAGGTCTTACAGCTTAAGTAAAGCTGTCTGTCTTGATTGAATTTGATTTGGTCATTTGGTGGCTATGGTTTTAATTTGATTGTTTGCTGGTTTTACAAGAAATATGAACTAAGAACTCTTTGCTGGCCAATAAATGATATGGATGTTTGGTGATATGATCATCATGTTTTTTGGATGTCTTTTTTTTTTCTATAAAACTGAACATATTAATTTATTTGATTTCATTGTTATTTGATTGCTTTTGATTGGTTTTCTTCGACTTAATGTAGATGTTTTGAAAAACTCTACTGAATATTTCTGAGAAAACCCCAATGATATCAACGACTTTCCTTTTAGTTATTCCAAAAATAAGAAAACCTACCGAATAAACCGCTTCACAACATTTTTGTATTCCCAGTAGTTATATTACAGTGAACACAACAAACAACAATAATATTTAGGCCATGGAAACAATGTAATAGATGGGTAGGAGAGGTAGAGATATTGGCAATCTGCCTTGAAAAACGACTGCATCACATCTTACAAGTCAATATTATCGTTTTGATTACTGTCGATTAAAAGGTTAACTTATGTTCCTCCATCATAATCTACCCTTGAGAAAGCTGGTGCATAGCTTCTTCCAAGACTCCATATCTGGGTCCATCTCCAACTTTGACATAATTTCCACAGCATAAGACTCCTGCACATATATTTATATGTCAATTATCAACACAACAAAATCACCAAAATGTCATACAAACTTCTTACAAACCTATTATATTAAAAAAAATCAACAAGATGTTTCAAAAATGCACCTCAATAAGATTGCATTGAAGAAGGCGATCATTAATGAGTTGTTTAAGAATGTCAGTGGAGTACTCTGGGTGACCTTGAACACCCATGATGTTGTCCCGGTACCTGAACATCTCAACTCGAGTCTTGTCTGACCATGCCAACACCTCCACCTCACACGGGAGGTCATGAATCTGTTTATTATTATTATTATTATTTAAAAATGATGTTTAATTCATATCATCATAGAAATCGATAGTAGTTATGGATGCTTAAAATGATATATAGGTACCTCATCACGATGGCATTCGATCACAGACAATGTTTTTGGCATTTCTAGATTAGAAAATATTTTCATGGATGATGATGACAAGTTAATGCTTCGGACCCCAACGTCCCAACCTGATTCCGCACGTGCAACTTTACCTCCCAAGGCACGTGCCAATATCTACAGATAAGATAATACGATTTAACGTTTTACAAATTCAAAATGATTAAAATTAAATCATTTATTTATGACATAGTATTGTAAGAGTCTGTTGATCGTAACTTGGTTACGCTTGTCAATAATGATCATATATATGATCATGAGAATGATTTAACTCATAGTCAAATTCTTGGAATGATGGAATTAATCATGCAATCGTACACTAGGAGGACAATACAATTGTCCCATTCCTATCGATGTCTAATGTCTCTACACAATGCATACAAATCAGGTTCCAGATTTTAATGTCCTACTTTCAGATAAAATCGAAACGATCCCACTCTTAATTTTTTTTTTGATATATGCCTTCACTTATTATTTTGGTGAATTTTGGAAGATTTTCTTTAATATTTTGTGTTTTGTATTTTTTTAATGGTTAATTAGAAGTCTCATGGTGTTTACAATTATTGTAACTAAGCATATACTCGAGCATTTACAAATTATGAAATGTATTTAAAATATTAATAAGTAGATGTCGTTAGAAACAAGTTGGGGCTAGCCCATTTGGCTAACAAGGTGTCTAACTAGGAGCTTCTAACCAGGAGATCTTGGGTTCAATCCCAAGCAAATACTAACATTGCCGTTCAAAAAAAAAAAAAAAGATGTCGTTAGAAAACTAAATTATTGTTGTTAATTATGAAATAATAATTTTTGTATATATTAAAAAGTTAAGATAAGAACCATATAATAAAAGAAATATCTATTAGAAGGTTAGAATTAAAGAGTTATGGTAGTTATAGTGGCAACAAATTGAACGCAGTTAACTAATGCACATATATTGGAACCATAAGATTTCTGATTTTTAGTGGGGACGAAGGTTGTTGGTATCAAAGGAGTTATTAGAAAATATGGTCGACGAAATGCGAGTAGTGGTGGGTACGTGGCTCCTTAATTATTTAAAGCTAATTTAATTAATAAAATTTAAAAAATCAATACAAAATAAAATAAAAATAAGACAAAACTGCAAATTTAGTCATTGTGGTTTACAAAAATCTTTGGATAGAATCCAAAAAGTTTTTAACTTGCATGCAGATCCAAAATCATAACCTTTCCGTAGTTTTAATCCAAAAAAACTTGAAAAGACGATTATGCCATTTTATTTTATTTTTTGTATTTTATGTATTTATTTAATACCTCTTTTAATTAAAAAAAAATAACATATCCCACCCTATCACTCTATCTGACCCTCCCCTTTCTCTCTTTCACTCCACCCGACCCTTTCCTTTCTCTTTCACTCTCTCTGCCATCTTCATCTTCTTCACCCTTCACCTGCTTTGAAGATAGCTTGATTAGCGATGAATCGTCCTCCACCACTAGAATCGTCAAAGCTTAGATCTGAAGTTGTTGATGTGTTATCGATGGTGCTCAACGATTACCAGGAAATTGGAATACGACATCAGATGCACACCTGAAGAAACTGGAATCACTCCTAAAAGAATCACCATCAATAAAATCAAAATAATCCCTCTCCACATATCTCTCAGTCAAAACACAATTCGCAGCTGAATGATTCACACATCTCTCAACCATTGAAAGTTGGAAGCTTTCCAGTTCTTGAATTTAATAGGGAAGAAATTGGAAACATATGTTGGTCTTATGTTGTTCTTGGAGAAATGAATCGGGATTCCTTTTTCAATATTTGGATCGAGAACCCTTTCAGAGAAATCAGATTCATTTAAGACACATTTATTCATTGATTCAATCTCATTGAAGCAAACATAAATCAACCAACAAACCTAGCAAACATAAATAAACCAACAACAAAACCTCATCAGGGGCTGTTGTCTTTGATCCATCGACAACAGTGGGCATGGGAAGCATTTGGGTGATTCTTCTTCAATAAGAGGGGCTGCAGTCGACGTCTCCGACAGGCCCGTCGTGGCTTCCTTTCTTATTGTCGGTAGTGAAGGAGTTAGGGGTGTTTGGGTGGTGTTCCTCGACCAATCACCATGGAGGAAGAGGGTAGTTTCGGTGCTTCACTCGACTGCTTCCCTTCTCGTTGTAGGCTGTGGATTTGAGTAGTACCCGTAACGATGAAAGGGGGGGTGTTTGGTTAAGACCGGTGATCAGATTAGGAAGAGGATGAGTACTGTCATGGTGGCGATTGGTGGTCTCCTAGTTCCACCGATTTCCTCCTATGCTAGAGATGCATAACTGGTGAAGGGAGAGAGAGAGAGAGTGTGTGTGTGTGTGAATGTATGGGTGGGTAGGGGATAATATATTTCTTTTCTTTTTATTTTTAAGACAAAATGGTATTAGAATAATTGTAAAAAATAAAAAAATAAATTAAAATGGTATAATCATCTTTTCAAGTTATTTTGGACTAAAAACCCAGAAAAATCTTGATTTTGGACCTTTTGTGCAAGCTGGAAACTTTTTGGACCCCATCCAAAGATTTTTGCAAACCACAAGAACTAAATATGCAGTTTTGTCTAAAAATAAATGGGTATGATAGTAACTGGCCATTTGGCCAAAGACCAACCGTGATGAACTTTCAAACTATTAGGACCAGTTGTATCATTATTTTTAATCCTGGACTAAACATGCATACGAGTGCTAACCATAAGGACTAAAATTGTACTCTACTCTTATTGTAAATCAATTAATTTAAAATTACAATTTTTTTTGGTCAGGAAGTTATGTTTTTCAAATACCAACTATTTTTGAAAAAAATTACGTAATTTTCAAGTACAAATTAAGTATAATAAGTTCAAGAAATACGAACTTAAGTACAACCATGAAACAATTACAGGTTCAACCCAAAATTACACAAATAAGTATAATAAGTTCAAGAAATATGGTACAAGTGTTTTACATAAGTTCAATAAATTTTTTGAAGTCTTTATATAGGTATGAAACTATACTCGCAACAAAATACAAAATTAAAGACAACATTGAAATAATTACAAAATTCGGATTGAACTTACAGTTTTTAGTAAAACATAGCGATCAAAATTTCAATGTATTTAATCAAAAAGAATTAACATTGGGAGTTTATTGAGAATTTTAGATAAATTATTAAAATATAGATTGTGTTTGGTATTTTTTGTTCTCATCATATCGGATAAAAAAGAATAAATAATATCAAAACATCTATTTGTTTTAAGAAAAAATTAAGTAAAAAATAAAACTGGTGGGAATGGTATCATGGTTGTCGAACTCCACCTCTGTAACTCAGCTCCACCCAGGAGTGGTGCCATTTTACCATATATATATATATATATATATATATATATATAGAGAGAGAGAGAGAGAAAGAGAAGTCCAAACTCTTGATTCTTTTCAAGTCATCATATCAAACAAAAATGAGTTCTCTTAATTTAGATTGACGAATGATAATAATCAAGAACCTGGGCTCTTCTTTCCATTTTATGTGATTTGGAGAGAGAGAGAGAGAGGAGAGAGAGAGAGAGAGAGACGTTGAAGGCCCTTTTCGTGGAGGTTGGGTGGTGTGGTCACGACAAAAACAAATTGCATCATCTTTGTCGTGTTCACTCCGAAAAACATAAGTCATAAGATCAAACTTTATTTTTCACATTTCCTTTTATATATATATATATTTTGAAAGACAAACGTGTTTTATCCAAACTAAGCAAAAAAAGCAATCTCAACATATAGATAACCATGTATTAATAAAAGAGATTTTTTTTTTTTTTGAACGGTAAATCTATTTTCTCCTATACTACTCCTAATTGTCCACCTATGTTCCTCACGCGATTTGAACCCTCAAACATAAAAGAGACTTTTTTAGTACGTGTCTTAAGACACATAAGAAACATTAATTATAAAAAAACATTACAATAATTATGAATTTATTAAGAAGATTATTAATGTATCTCACATTTAATTATAGTAATAATCTTTATAATTAATATATTTTATATTTAATTATGATAATATTTGTTATAATTAATATTTTTTATAGATACAAAGTAGAACGAATGAAAAAAAAAGCAAATAATAAAGATGGATAAAAAGCAAATAACTTGGTCTATAATGGAATCTCTTGTCACCCAATCATCAACTTACTCTTTTGATCCATTGATTAATTTTGTTCGCCTACTTAATTATTAAAAATTAGTCGACAATTTTTAAAGATCAAGTCTACCATATTTATGGGACATTATAGTCTACAACTTTATATCCAGTATTGTAGGACTCTTTAGTCTTTTTACCCTATTATATATATTGTTTATCCACTCATAAATCATATCCCATGCAAATCTCAACTACTTATTGGAATAAATCAAATTAAAATTTATAAAAAGTTTGTTTATGAGTCTAAAAAAATCATTAACAAAACAAACATTTTTTTTGTCCGTTACAATTTCACATTTTTTTGCAATTGCATGCTCCAATAACAAACAACAAGCTTATTAGTATATTGTTATAGATATATCACGAAAAATGTTTCTTCGGTTTTAATTAACTTTCATTTAAATTATCAATAACACAATATTGTTTGCTTTGTTGAATTATTCATATGATTAATCTCTTGTCCGACATTCATCAAGATTGAACAAAGGTAAATTTGTTGCTATTGTTGTTTACGATAAATAATATGTATAGTGGTTTAATCTTTTTTTAAAACAAAAATTAAACTAAAAAAATATGGTCATTTAATTGTTTTTACCCGTTTCTTAATTGATCGATAACAAATTTTAATAAAAAATAACTCTGAATAAATTTAACACATAGATCGATAAAACTATAAAAATTATAACTTAATTTTTTTTGGTTTGTAAATCAACACGTAAATAACCTTTTGTTGTGGTTACTTATGTATTTAATAATATGACACATGAACATGATATATAATATCTTCATGTTTGAAAGTTGAAACGAAAGCTCAGAGTTTAATTAGCTGATAATTGAGGTAGATGAATAAGTTTTGCAGAAAGAATAACTTGAATCAATCAAAAACTATATATAATCGATGAAACCAAAAACTTAATTACCTGGTGACCGAAGCAAATGCCGAGAATTTTTTTGTTCATTAATTGTAATTTGTTGAGTAAAGTGAGAAGCTCGCAGATCCAAGCATCATCGCCGTATGCATCTTTACAACTACCAGTAATCACGAAACCGTCATAAACTCCGATCTCCCCATCATCAGGAAAATCTCCGTCGGCAACACGAAACACGTCCCAAAATTCGCCTTCCTCCGCCAGCATTCTCAGGAAAACCCCAAAGTAACCTCCGTATTTCTTCTTCACGTAATCAGTGTCCTCTGCACACTGGAGAACGCCGAATCTCATCGTCCTTTTCACTTTTCACTACTCCTCCGATGATCAAATTAATGTTGTTTTCTCTCACTATAGTGAATCCGTGCTCGCGTATCTCACTGGAATCGGATTGGATTTGATTTGAGAGAGATTGATTCTTGTCTAGTGTGGGAATGAATCTTACATATTTCATTTTCATACACACTAGGTGCTTATATATAAAGGGTACAAGATACATATTACATACCAATCCATAATTAAATAATTTTATATTCGTCATCGTAAAATCATTTTTTTTTCATGATAAACTTTTAAAATGTGATTATTTAGTTTCTAAATTTTTTTGCTTAGAGTTTAATTATTTTTTATATCATGTTTAAATGATTTTGTCTAATAGTACAAACTTATTTCTTTATCTACGTGTTTTATTGATTCAAGTGATGTGGTCTTTGAAAAGTGTTTTTAACTTTTTTTTTTTTTCTACAAATCTATTTTAATAATTACGTTTGTTATGTTTTTAGTCTCTTAGTCGTTTTAAATTAATGCCTCACATATTAAATTCATATAAGTGAGAGTAAACTACACATTGGGCCCTGTGGTTTATCCAAGTTCACACATTTGTTCACTCTATTCGATTTTTGACATAGATGCTCTATGCGGTTTGCATTTGTTGCACCTAAAAACAATCTTTACCCATTTTAATATGTTTTTTTTTCTTTACCCATTTTAATATGTTTTTTTTTTTCCCTTTTTAGTTATTTAAATATTTAAGAGAGTGTTATTCTTGAGCTTAAAAGTGATATTGGTGGTCATTCTAGTGGATTTGCAAGAAGGAGAAGGTGTTGATCAAGTCTTGGTTGTTAATGATCTTCTAGATCATGCATTTAGCTCATCTTGGGGAACCTTTAGAGGTAAAAAGTCCAGACCTTGCTATTTCTTTTGCTAGTGTGAGTTAGGGTTTGGTATTGAGTCCATTTTTGATCCATGGACCCTCTCTTGTGAGTTTGAGCAACTCCGGAGGTTAGAAATGTTAGATCTAAGCTCCTTGGGCATGCTAGAAGCATAAAAATGCTAACATGATGGTTGTTATGGGACCATGCATGAGTTTAAGGTCTTAAAAGGGCTCTTAATGGGAAAAATGAGGTGTTGGGTTCCCATGTGGCATGCAAGGGCATAAAGTTGCCAACTTTATGGCCTAGGACCTCTTAATCGACTCAGATATGGAATCGGATGTTGAGACTTCGCGTATTAAGCACTTATTGGCCTTTTGTGCATGAAGTGTTTGTACGTTGGGCGTATTGTCTTGTACGTTGTGTGTACCACCCAAGGACCTCGTACGCTAAGCGTACTGAAGATGTACGATGGGCGTACGCTTCCAGTGAACTTTAGGCTTTCGTTGATCTTGTCATTAGACTTTAGGTGGTATGGTTTGGGCCTTGTGGGTCTTGTGGCCCATTATTGTTTGGGCCTTAAATGTTAGGCCTATTATTGAAGGAAAAACTTTGGGGGCTTATTGGATGAGTTCAGACTTACGAGTTAGGACTATGTCTTGGATTCATGATTAAATTCTAATTAGGATAAATCGTGTTTATTCAGTGTGAGATTTCCGGACCGGTAGCCTAGCAGTATTTTATTAGCATTCTGAGGTGAGTCTTCTCACTATGTCAATGGGTCGAAGACACCAATGTCGGCCCATTATCTGATATGTGGAATGTTGATTGTTATGCATTGATCGTATGAAGACCCCGGGGGTAACCCGTGCCACTTATGTGGAGACTATGTTGGGTACCCATGACACCTGGATATTAGACCCTGGGTATAGCCCATGGCATTTCAGGTAAATACCATGGGGGTAGCCCATGTCACTTGGATATTAGACCATGGGGGTAACCTATAACATTCCAGGTAAAGACCATGGGGTAGCCCATGACAGCTTTTTATATGTTGCATGGTATTCTGTGGTTATATGTTATGCAATATTTTGGGAACCCACTAAGATTTTGCTTACAGTTTATTTGGGTGTTTTCAAGTACTTCTGATACTAAGGGGAAGGGTCTAGCTTAATGATGCAACATTCACTCTCCAATACCTTTCGTAATTATCTATTTTGTTACTCCGATATTTGATACGATATGATGTAATGGATTTTTAGGAACAAGTTACAATTGTATTTCTATTTTCAAAAGTGAAAAAAAAAATTATCTGCTTTTTAGGCTATTACAAGTTGGTATCAGAGCCTTGGTTTGAGGGATTCAAACACACTCTCGGGTGTGTCGGAACTCAAACTGAGGAAACGGTAAACCTTTTCAAAAGAAACAAAAGTTAAGTTTCTCTAAAAACGGTTTTCTTAAGTAAAAAAGGAGATTGCAATGCGCGGAATCGGCTGAGCCCAAGTAAGTGTTTCCCAAAATTTAACCATGCTATTAATATATATATTTCTTGGAATCAATGTTGACCCTGTTATTTGCTATGTGTATGCTTTCATAGTTGTATATGCTTAGGATTACATAGCCCTAGAATGATGGAATATTCCTTATTTCCTATTCCTTGTTTTGTTATGATCTTAGGGCAGAAGCTTTATTTGACAGTCTATGTGATTCTATTTATGTATAACTTGCATGCATAAGGCAATCTGCGATATTGATTTAGGTTTCTGGTTCTGTGAGGATTGAGAAATCCTAGAATAGTCTAGGATATGTGTATGTGTTGTGTTATGTGGGGCATGTTTTTATCTTTGGTTAGGTGAATTAGAGGTATCAGGTATGGCCTTTGGGAGAGTACAGGTAGGTGTGGAAGGTAGTAGTGGGCCCGTACTATTGAAAGAACATGACATATACCCGAAACAAGGACATACCTGGAAGCTCTAAGGAGTCCAGTGGGGGAGGAATTCCTTAAAACTTCCTTATCAATTGCTTTTTATGTTGTATTTTCAGTTGAGGATGGTGATGACTACACGAGGAGGTTCAGGTTTGGGATCAGGTTCAGGATTGGGTTCAGACTCTGGTGTAGAGCTAATTGATGAGATGCTGCACGATCTTATCACAAACAAGGTTACACTTGGCATCCTTGATGCTACCCTGGTGATTTTTGGTACCGTCATGGAAGGGATCATAAAGATTATGGAGGAGCGACTCAGGTCTTTTCGAGCTGAGATTTCTACGGGTCATATTGGGGCTCATCCCTCATTCCGGGAGTTCAAGGCGTGCAGGGAGTCTGAGTTCTTTGGGGTTAATTAAGGACCCCATCGCTAGTCGTCATTGGATTGCTGACATGGAGAATGGTCAGCGCAAGAGCTTTTGCCCCGAGGCGGAAAAGGTGGCATTCACGTCTTGTATGCTGAGGGATCAGGCACGAGACTGGTAGGAGGGGGTTACCCATGAGGTTGGGTCAGTAGGTGTGACAGTGATGATGTGGGAGGATTTTGAGCGGAGGTTTGATTGGGAGTTTGCAAGGGCCATTAAGGTGCAGTAGCTGGTGAGGGAGTTTCAGGACCTTCACTAGAATATAGAGTCTGTGGCAGAGATTATCGCCAAATTTAGAGAGAGGGCACTACTGGTCCCGTAGTACGCTGCGGATGAGGATATGAGAAATATGAGATGTCATGCTAAGTTGAGGGATGATATCCAAGAGTTTATGAGCTTCTTAGGGTGCAAGACCCTGAATGACATGATTGAGAGGCCCGTAAGCAAGAAATTAAGTTGGAGCTTCGGACAAAGCGGAAGCCGGAGCAGGTTCAAACAACAGTGGGTTAGGCTAAAAAGCCTAAGACCTCTGATCCTCCCAACATAGGCCATCAGGGTTGGAGCTTCTAATGATTTCTTATTATTCTTATGTTGTTATGATTTTGTATCGGGACATTTTTGGTCAATGAATTATCGGATCATGTTCTTTTTGATTCGGGGGCCACCCGACCCTTTGTATCTCTTGCGCTCAACAAGAAGTTTTGAGAGGCTTCGGGGACTTTGAATTCCCCTCTTGAGGTGGAGATTGCGGATGACCATACTGTGAGTGCTGCGAGGGTATTTTGTAGGAGTATTCTAAACATGTTCGGCGAGAGGTTTCCTATTGACTTGGTACCGATTCCTTCGAGGGGACTGAAAGTAATCATCGGGATGGATTGGTTGGGAACCAATGGATCCGTGATTGATTGTGAGCGGTAGTTGGTGAGGGTTCGAACTCCAAGTAGGGGAGAACTGGTCATTCATGGTGAAAGAGCTTCACATGGGCCAACTCTCTATTCGGCTACGGGGGCTAGGAGACTTCTTCAACAGGGTTGATTTGGGTTTCTGGCTTATGTTTCAGATTTGAGGGTGGAGATAATGACAGAGTTGAGTAGGGTACCTATTGTGTGATATTTTCCCGATGTTTTTCCAAAAGGAGTTGCCTGGAGTGCCTCCCGAGAGGCAGTTTGAGTTTCAGATTGATTTGATGCCTGGCGCGACTCCAATAACCAAGGCGTCGTATCGCCTAGCTCCGCCTGAGATGCAGGAGTTGTCTATGCATCTACAAGAGCTTCTAGACAACAATTTTATTTGTCCGAGTAGTTCCTCGTGGGGGGCACCGATCCTGTTCGTAAAAAAGAAGGATGGGTCACACAGGATGTGTATTGATTATCGGGAACTAAACAAGCTGACCATGAAGAACCATTACCTGCTTCCAATGATTGACAACTTATTTGATCAGCTTCAGGGTGCTTCTTGGTTTTCCAATATCGACCTTCAGTCAGGGTATCATCAGATGAGGATTAGGGATGAGGATATACAAAATACGACCTTCAGAACTCGATATGGTCATTATGAGTTTGTGGTGATGCCATTCGGGCTCACTAATGCCCCAGTAACGTTCATGGATCTCATGAACTCGGTGTGTAAACCAATGTTGGATCGGTCCGTGATTGTTTTTATTGATGACATCTTAGTCTACTCTAAGACCAAGGAGAAACATGAGCAACATTTGAGGGAGGTATTGGAGACCTTGAGGAGGGAGAGGCTTTTTGCTAAGTTCTCCAAATGCGAGTTTTGGCTACGTGAGGTGCAGTTTTTAGGGCACATCATTAACCAGGGTGGTATCTTGGTGGACCTGGCCAAAATCGAGGTTGTGATATGTTGGGAAGTTACAAAGAATGCATATGAGATTCGGAGTTTATTGGGTATCGTGGGTTATTATCGGAGGTTTATCCATGAATTCTCCAAGATTGTA